TCTGAACTATAAATTGAGTTCCTAATTTTTGCAAAGGATATGACATTTGCCATTAAAAATGTTGTAACGAGAGAAATAACAGGCCGCACAGGTGGGAGGCGGTCGGCAGTTTCCTTTTCCCTGATTCATGTTCTGCATGTCTATGGCACGTAGGTTTTTACATGTAGTATTCCATACAGTCACTCAGTATGGCAGATTAGAATTTTTATCCTCATTTTAAAGATAAGGAAACAAAAATTTAGAGTGATTGTTTCATAGTAACCATATGTCGAAACTTTGATTTAAAATTCAGATATTCCCAACTTCCGATCTGGAAAGCAGAATACACTTTTTTATTTTCCATAATAAAGCAGTTTTTCTTTCTTACTAGTAGCGATCAGCAAGATATTACCAATGGGAAGAAAACATCTCCCCAGGAAAAATCATCTACTCACGAATCTCACAAACACAAGAAGTCAAAGAAATCCCACAAAAAAAAGCAGAAAAAAAAGTCACACAAGAAACAGAAGAAAAGCAAAAAGGAAGCCACAGATGTAATAGCAGATTCCTCAAGCGAGCTCTCAGAAGAAACTGGGGCTTCTAGTACCAGGAAAAGGAAACAACCACATAAGCGCAAGAAAAAATCCAGGAAAAAGTCTCTCAAAAAATCTGCTTTATTCTTAGAGGCAGAAAATGACACTTCCCAGTCAGATGATTCCGCATCAAGCAGTTCTGAGGAAAGTGAAGAAAGAGACACTAAGAAAACCAAAAGGAAAAAGAGAGAGAAAAAAGTCCACATCCCTGTGGTTAACAATGAAATACAGGAGAGGACAAACAAACGCACAAATTGGAAAGTGGCTACAGATGAAAGGTCTGCCGAGAGCTCAGAGGACGATTAAAGGAGAAAGAAACATTCTTCAGTTTCCTGAGTGACCGGAGATTCATAGCTCTTACACCTTGGGGTTTTGCCGGTGACTCAACCGCTCAGCACAGGGGGCCTGAGATCAGAGCCGTCCTGTGCCACCTGTGTATGTTCTGACAGACTTCTTGTCTTCTATTTTGGCCTGTTAAACTTGATCCTCTAATTGTTAATGGAGAATCTGGTATTTTGTTACGAAGGTTTCTTGGGGAGATTATTTTTTTGCAGTTAATCACATTTAGCATAGTGTGCACCTACAGGAAACTAAAGGACCCAGAAAGCTGAATCCAGTAGTGACCTGGGTACACCAGTTGGAATGGTGAATTTGAGGAAAGCAAGGGCTGGGGTCAAGAGGTGGATTGGAGCTACTGCTGTATAGTGGTCTGACCAGGGAACGTCGTGTTGCTGTTTGTACAGCAGGTGCCACAACTTGATTTTTTTTCGGCTTCATCCTTGGTGCTTTGATCTTTCTGTATGTCGGCCCCACAGGTGTGATCTAGTTTACTTACTGAGGAAATGAGCATATGAACAAGCATTTTCTCTTCAGATAATATCCACAGACAGCTGTTGTTGGTAGAGACGAGGGTTTTCTGTCCAGTTTCCCTGTTGGACAGGGTCTGCGGCTATACTCAGTATACCACTGAGCATGGTGATTGAATAGTAAAGTTTTCTAGTTCCATTGTTGTTTATTGACTAAGCGGACTTGTGTTCAAAATTAGTTCCTCAGTTTTCTTAGTTAAGTTCTCAGCCAAATGGGGAAGAATTAGGCATTAGTCATGCTGTCTAATGGTGCTCTGGACAGGATTCAGGGCAGGAACTGCCATTTAAATGTTGTCTTCCTTGTTCATTTGTAAATCTGTTAGTGAACTTTAGATTTTCCCTGAAACTACTTTGAATCAGTTCCAAAATGAAATTGGCTTCTCAGGGACATAGCCGTTTCTTCCTAGTCTGCCTTTGGATTAAAGCACCGAGCAGAGACCTTTGTTACTTCCCCTTTGCTATCTATGGACCCCTACTATGTTCATTCTTAAGAAACCAAAATACCACTGAAAAAAGGCTGGCAGAACACAAAGGAATTTTTTCATTACAGCAGATCAAGTGATGTAACATTGTTTTTTCCTTGTTGTCACTTCATGGGCTGAGTTAAAGGCTTGAAAACTCAGACTTTTGGTCTTGGTTCTGCCACTCATTGGCTGTGAGGTCTGGGGTAGGTAAGTCAGCCTCCTTGGCCTTTCCCCATGTGTAATACAGAAACACTTCATGGCAGCCTGACAGCGTAAGACACCAGCAATAGAATACGGCTATGACAACATTCCACTGATGTGGTAGTATTTTGTAGTTATAAACTATTAAATTTGTTCTCTATACAGAACAGATTTCTAATAAAATGTTTAATCATAAAATACATGGTTGGCCAGAGGTTCCCTATCCCTTGATTATAAGCAGGTGCTACCTTTTGCAATATTTATTTAAAATATGAATACTTTGGTACTCAGTTGTTGATGATCCATGGTGTATATTTTTATCTTTGGGATTAGTAGGGGCCCAAGGATGGAAGAACAGTCTGTAATTACTACCTCTTAACCTAAAGTTATTGTTCTTGGAGCAGGTGAAATCTTTGTTGGAAAGAGTTTTCAGCATTTTTTTTAGCATTGTTTCTGTGCTATGAAAGTGTTAATTCTAAGCAGACTCAGGAAGATGGGCCAGTGGAATGAGGCATTTCCAGAAGTTGGTTCTGTTTGGGTCTTGACCTTCCCTTCTTCTCATACTAGCAGGCCTCTTTCCAGCGAATACACATCTTGCCTGTTTTGTTTTTTTGCTGTTTACCCTGGTCATGTATAAGCAATAAAGCTGTTTTCTGTTCTTTACCTTTCTCAACCCCCAATTCTCTTCTATGCCTTAGGCTATGGCTTTGATGGTTCTTCTAGCCCACTTATATATGGCTTAGGGTGGCTCTTCAAAACTTAAGGGCTCCCATTTGCACTACTGGCCTTGGAACATACTTATCTGTGGTGTTCCTGCCATTCAGAGATCTATATATTAACTCCTAAAATGGATTAAAAAAAAAGAGTTGGAGAATTCACATTTATTGAATAACTGTTGTGATACAAGGTAGAATTTCTGAATTCCAAATAAATAAATTTCACTTTTTGGACATTTTGATCTGTTACTTTTTAGCACCCACAGGCTTGATGACAGCCTGAAGTTGGCCTGACAGTGGGCTGACAACCTTCCCCCACTGGCCCTTCAGTCAGCTTAATAACCAGTCCTTTGCTGCTTCTGTCATTCTCCCAGGGGATGGCCTACTGCCCTCCTTTCTGTACAATCTGGGCAAACCGACTGGTGATGGCAAGAGTAGTGTCAATGAAGCGGTCCACACAGCTAGAGAGACAGTTTTCAGTGCGAGAGTCTAGGCGATTCCCTGGTTTCTCCACGCATTTATCCCAACATAGCTCCATGAAGTGATGCACCTAAGAGGAAAGAAAAATAGTAACCACTGGGGTCTGCAGATAGGCCTAACTCTGCCAGTTTTCTTATTTCCTTCCCATTTTTCTCCTTTTCTGTCCCCTGACTAAACCATTCTTTCAATTTCTTGATTTTCCTAATTCGTCACCAGTATGGCCCAGATCCTCATCCCTACACTGCAACAATCCTTATCTTTTCTATTTTTCTCCTTTGTAATGGAAAAAAAAAGGGTATTTTCCATCAAGCAACCCCAGTGTCAGCTTAATGCATCAATTTCAATTTCTCTGTTAGTCACTCAGGGCACTCTTATACCCAATCCATACTGTTTCAATACACACTACTCAGCTTGACTCAATACTCCTGGAATGCCCTCCCTAAAGATTTTTCCAGAGTTCAAAGTATTACCTCCTGGAAAACAACTGTCAATCTCCTAAATTTGTCAAGTCCTTAATCAGATCCTAAAATTTCCGGCAGGATTAATACCTTCTTTTATATTTCCAGACTAGCACCAGCGTAAGCTGAGAAGCTGTACCAATGAACTCCCCCAAACCACTGCACCCATTTCGTTCCAAACCTATTCCTTAGTAGTTCTTAAACTCTTAACTTTTTTGGGTGTCATGGAAATATCTGAAAATCTGGGACGGTTGGTTATGGACCCAATCTCCAGAAAAATGTACACACAGGCACACACACAAAAATCCGTGTGCACTCCCATAACGTTCCGGCAATAATTTCTAACCAGAATTCGTGCTACTTATCCTCCGCGACCCCTCCCCTTCCCACCATACCCACTCACCCTCTAAAGAGGGGAATAATCTTTTACCGAGGACGTAAGTGTTTTCGGAGGCTGGGTATTAACTAGTCAATCCTTTTTGCGGTACTAAAAGGTGACTGTCACCTCCTTTTAAGAGGCGGTTAAGTAATTAGCCCAAGGTCATGCAGCTAGTAAAGGACCACGCCGGGTTTCGAAACATCTCTAAAATGCTCCAACACGCTTGTTCTAAGCTAACAGTCTAGACTGACTACTTCAGAGCCCACCTTTATCCAATAATGTTCTACTGCTCTACCGTTTCAAGTGCATTATCGCATATGATCCTCAACATGCAGGGAGGCAGTGGGTATTTCGTCTAGAGGCACGTGGCCTGTAAGGGGCAGAGACAGAATGAGAACCCGTATCTTCCAAACGCCAGCCCAGAGAGCTCGCCGCCAAACTAGGCTCCAGTGCTCTGGCGCCGCCCAAATCTTTCTTCTCTGCTTTACACCTTCTCTTTTCCCCACGCCGGGCTTGCTTAGCGGGTATCTGAGCACTACGGGTCACCAGCGGCAGTAGTGACTCGTTTCTTTTGAGGGGCACCGTGCACAGCAGGGCTGGAGCATCCGGCGGCCGCACCGCGCCACCAGCGTTCGGAGCTCCGCGGGTGCCTGAGACCTGTACTTCCCCTCCTTCCTCTTCACACCAGCCCCTGTCCCCGCACCTGTGCAGTGAACTGCGCCTTCTGCTGTTCGGCCGCCACCAGACGCTGCAACTCCGCTTCGTCCGCCTCCCCTAGCTCCGCCATCGTCCGCTTCGGGATCGGGACCTTCCAACCGGCGTGTGTGCGCATGCGCAGCAGGCACGCGCCGACCCCTGACTTCCGGTTCATCCTTTTCGTTGTTTTTTTTCGTCGTCGTGTTGTCGGATGACTGCTTCCGGGTGGCTGGATGACCTTGAGCCTTCAGGAGCGAGATGGCGGCTCTCTGGAGGCTGAGTGTCCTCTGCGGTGCCCGAGGAGGCGCAGGTGAGGGGTCCTGGCAGCCGGAGGTTCTTAGCACAGCCTCCAGCCGGGGAAAGGGACGCGGTGAGGACTCGTCTGCTGGGTGGATCCCTTCTCCTTCCCTTTGACTGCTTTGGCTCCTAAACTACAATAGTGACCAGCGTTGCCTGCGCGCCCAGGTGTCCACCCCAGGGCATGTCTCCCCTGCGCCGGGCTGACGTGGTGATGGGGTAATCTGAGAGCTCCTTCTGGAAGGTATAATCCTGCTGAAGCTATTCATTTGAGTTCTCTTTTTCACCGCGTTCGCTGTCTTTAGAATGCTCTCACCTGGAATCAGAGAAGTGTTAGGATCTAAGTCCCAGTTCCTGGTCTTGCCCATTTTCCCTGGAGTTCAGTTCGATAATTGTTTAACTGGGCATTTGTGTTCTACAGGTACTGTAGTATGCTTGGAATATAAATATGACTAAAACGTAGTTCCAGCCCTCAAAGAGTTCGCCCTTTTGTAGGGAGAAACACATATAAGCATAATTTAACGTAAAGTAAAAACTCTTGTGCTGTACGTGTGTGTGTATGCCAGTCCAGAGGAAGAATATATTAGCCCTTTGTTTTGGAAGGATTACCCTGTCTCGGTTCCTGAAGGAGGTGTGCCTGATTTATTTAAGTCTTGAGGGTTAGGAAGGCCCCAGGAAGAAGGGCATTACAGTTAGGGCTACCGGGATGCGCAAAAGCAATGATGAAGGTGTAGAAACTGCTTGGTATGAGAGAAAACAAATTGGATATTATTAGAGCGTGAAGTTTAATTAAGGTGAGGCATGAGAGATGATTCTGGAAAGTTGAACTGAAATCACATCACAGAAGAGCTTCACCTGGTAGGAAGTAACGCATTTTACCTGGTGTGAAGGGGAGCCGTTGAAAGATTTGACATAGATTTGCAGTTTAGATTGACCACTTTAGTAACATTGTGGATGTTGGCCACATGGAAAATGGAGCAGGCTAAGACGTATTTCAGGGAGACCAGATAAGACACTGTTGTAGTAGTCCAGGCAAGGATGGTGAGGTCCTGAACTTGGAAAGTAGCACAGAAGAGAAGATTATCTCAAGAAATGTTAAGGAGATACATCAGTATGATTTGGCAGTTGACTGAATACAGAGGGAATGTCCTACATGACGTCCAGATTTCTGGGTTAGGTTGCAGAGTGGCTGGGATGTCATTAAGTAAAGTGGGGAGCATGCAAATGGGAGACAAGTTTGAATGAGAAAGTGAGTTGAAGGGAGATTTTCGTTTTTGGCGTGGTAGGTAAGTTTGAGAACCATGTTCGGTATCTTAGGGGAGAGGCCTTGCAGGCACTTACACTTCTGAAACTCTGGAGCAATATCAGGGCTGAAGATACATAATTGGATGTCATCAGTTTAAAGGCAGTAGAAGCTGAGTAGACAAAATGTCTAGGGATGGGCATAAGAAGCCAGGAGAGCAATGGGCAGATGATAGAATCCGGGACAAAAATTTAAGCGTGGATGTAGGAGGAGACTAATATATAATGGTCAGAGACTCAAGGGAGAAGTAGGAGAGAGTTGTGTCAGAGAAAAGAAGGGGGGAAAGGCCAGCAATGCCAGGTGATGCAGAAAGACCCAGTAAGATGAAGACTGAACAGTGCCTGTTGGATGTGGCCATGTGGAGACCATTGGCGACTTACCAAAGTTGTTTTGGTTGGGATAAAGACAAGTTGCAGAGTCGAAGAATGATAGGGAAGTGAGGAAATCGAGGTGATTTAGACAACTTTGAAGAAGCATGGTGTTGGAAAGAGAAGAAAGAGCAGGGGAAGAGTGCATGGACAGTAGCTAGAGGACACAGGGTCAAGGGAACATTAAGTATACTACGTCAGATGAGGGCAAATTGTCCATAGGAAGGAAGGAGAGATTAAAGATACAGGAGAGAAATTACCTTTTATTGAGTGATTATAACATTCTGGGAATTATGCTGAACATTTTACATGTGTTATTTAGTTTTCAAGAGACTATTATGAAGTAAGTAGTAGAGCTTGCATTTTACAAATGACAGTGAGGCTTGGAGAGCCTATTTAACTTAAATGCTCATCGTATCACAGCCAATATTGGTAGGGCTGGATGAATTTAGGTCTGCCTGTTTTTTAACCAAGAGACAAGATCTATAGGAGGACTGAAAGGGGTGAGTTCAAGAATGCAAGCAGAGAAATTCATCACGGAAAGTAGGGTGGTATTTCCCAAACTGAATTACTTGAGATCAAAGACTTTGTCTTTTGTCTCTCTTGCTCCAGTGCAGAGCACAGTCTTGCAGGTAGTAAGTATTTGTTGGATGAATAGATGAATAAATGGGAGGCGAAAGGAGCTATAATTTATTTATTTTTTAATTAGTAAAAGTGAAGCCCTTTTATGGAAGTGTTCATTGATTTTTCAGTCTTTCAGTGGCAACTTAGTTGACCTCACAGCAGCCCAGTGAAACAGGTGCTGTCCTCATTTTACAGATGAGATGATTATTCCCCATTTAGGGTTAAATAGCTTGCCTGTGGTCATTTAGAAAGTCTGTCAATCACGTTAAAGGAGAGGTGTTTCTGACACCCCTAATGTCTCTTTCCTCAGCTCTGCTCCTCCAAACCCCAGTGGTCAGACCCGCTCACGTCTCAGCGTTTCTCCAGGACCGACCTAGCCCGGGATGGTGTGGAGTGCAGCACATCCACCTGTCACCCAGCCATCACTGTATGTTTTCTCCATTGCTGCTGCCTTCTGGGCTCTGTGCATCTTCGTCTGGGCTGATTGTCATGCCATTGGCAGGACTTGCTGTCAGTGGGAGGAACTCTTGTGTCCCACTCTGTTAAAAGAGGACAGACCTAGCCTACACCTTTGCCAGCATAGGTTGAATGATGTCATTTACACTCATACAGAACCTTCTGGTCTAAGTCTTTTTAAAATTTTTAACTTTTTAAAAAAGAAAATAGCTCTGTAGGAAGACTGTTCAATATAGTTTAATTACCCTTATTTATTTAGTGGTTGGAGAAGAGCCAGGTAGAGTAATTTAGAATAGCAGACAGTTTACAAAGTCACACATAGTTATTTTTTATTTAGGTTGATAGTAAAATCATAAGCCATTTCTTGGATGAATAATGTTTAGATATTATTAAAGTTAGTCTTAGAAAATCTGTAAGTGAATAATGAGTTAGCTATTTCTAAAGTCTAAGAAGGTCAATATTTTACAGAGATAAAGACTTCTCTTGATTCTTACATCAGACACTTGTAGTTGCATCTGAATTCTGAGAAGTTAGGCAAGTAAATTTTTTCTGCTTTTTAGAATTATTTTATCTTTGAAAAGTTTTTGTTTCTGAACTTCGCTTTGTTCGGTTAGATTTAGCAGAGTGGTTTTAATTTGGAATGCATGGGACTGAAGGAAAGCCCCCAAAATTGTAAGCAGAGTTTTTAATACATACATATCCATGTTTCCTAGGAAGTAGCTCCATCCTTTCATTAGATACCCACAGCGGTAAGTAACCAGAAAAAGAGTCTCTCGAAGAGATATTTAAAGACCATTTTATTTTTCCTGAGTTTAAAAGAAGTTTTTATGTTCCATATCTTTTGGAGGCTGTTTATAAGTAACAGGACCAAAGAAGAACCATGATCCTAAAAGTTGACATTAGAACTTTGCTTCTCTTTGAGTTGACTGGTTTTATTTTGTTTTGGGAAGGTTTTTAATATTACTTAACTTACAAATAATTAGGTGTATATAAAAGAGTAATGTTTTAAAGGAATTCCTCAGGTGTCACCAACTTATATTCATAAGGTCCATTATACTGAAATCCAAGATTGGTAATTCTGCAGAGATATTTTGCCCATTTCTTGCCTGTAAGCAAAGTGGACCTGTCTTCTACGCAGTATATGTAGGTGTTGAGACACCCTGTGCTGAAAGACTTCAAAGAAAGGAGATAGCATCTCTCTCACTTTCTTTAACTTACCCTCTTTATGTTCAGAGTTAAGTCTTAAATGCATTCTGTTTGCCACTCTATCTGTTTGGTTTATTTTGTGGCAAATATTGAGCTGTGTGTTTTCCCCTGCAGCTGTTACAAATCTGGTCCTTCCTCTCCACAGCTGGTTCCAAGGCTGCGTCTCTCCACTGGACTAGTGAGAGGGTGGTCAGTGTTTTGCTCCTGGGCCTGCTTCCAGCTGCTTATTTGAATCCTTGCTCTGCGATGGACTACTCCCTGGCTGCAGCCCTCAGTCTCCACAGTCACTGGCAAGTACAGCAGTCCTTTCAGTATTACAGTGTCTGCTTAGATGGTTTATTGTGAGCCTGTCTCACTATTGCATACGAGGGAGAAGTTGATGAGATTCTCAAGACTTGAAGAGAACATTAAAACATATAAACTATTAAAACATATAAACCATTAGTATGCCCAAATTTATGTATCCATGTGCCTATTCGAAGTCTTCACTTCCATATCTGCTCGGCATTTTGAAGATCGCATGTTATAACCCTGAGTTCCTGAGCTCCCCTACATCTCTCCCTCTGGTACCCTTGCCCATCTGAATTAATGGCATTTCTGTTCTTCTGTTTGTTCAAGCCCCATATTTGGTCATCATCCTTGATTCCAGAAGCAGTCTCCTAACTGGTCCCCCTTGTGTCTATTCTCAACACAGCAGCCCCTGTGATCCTGTTAAAATATTAAGTCAAGTCAAGACATTTCCCTGCTTGTAACCCTTCATTGTCTCCTCATCTTCCTTAGACTAAATGTCTGAGTTCTTACAGTGGCCTACAGACTCTACATGGTCTGGCCGCCTCGTCTTCAGTGATTCTTTCCCTCGTTCACACTGGCTTCCTTGATAAATCTCAAACTCACCAGCGACACCCCAGGCCTCAGGGCTTTACTCTTACTCTTCCTTCCCCCTGAAACTCTGTTTCGAGTTATGTACTTGGCTTGTTTTCTCATTTCCTTCACATCTTAAATGTTACCTTCTCAATGACGCCGCCTCTCACCACTTACTCAAAATGACAGTGTCTTTCCCAACATTGCTTATCCCTCTCCCCTGTCTTAATTGTCTCAGTAGCACTTAGTTTCTTCTAATATACTTTATCATCTATTTATTGTTTTGTATATTCCTTGTATATTCCTTGTCTCCCCTCATTAGGATGAAAGCACAGGTACAGAAAATCACAAGAATCAAATCTATGGCACAATGAATTATTATAACAGTAGTTCCACCCAGGTCAAGAAACTTTGCCACCCGCCCCAGAAGCCTCTTCCTTGTGTCCTGTCCCGGGAACAACTTTATTCTGATTTTTATAACAATCATTTCCTTACATTTCATCATGGTTTTATTACTCAAATTGCATCCCTAGACACTGTCATTCAGCTTTGCCTTTTGTAGAAAAAAAAAATGAATTGGATTTTTGACTGTTTTTATTTATTGTTGTATCTTTAGTGCCTAGACACTGAGCTCTAAGTAAATGTTTATTGAATGAATGAATTTTCAATTTGCGTTTATTTTATCTTTTGTAGTTTGTTAGACTTTCTAAGTTAATGAAGCTTCTAGGAAGTTTGTTAATAACAGCTGGGTTCCTTGAGTTGTTCATTTTATATTGTTTTGCAAGGACAGTATGCTGTCATGGTTGGGGGGCGATGCTTATGGATTGTCTGAACTGAAATGACTTAAGTGAGTATTTTAACCAACCCTGTTACTTTACAATTGAGTAGCTAAACCCCAGGGAAGTTAAGTAACTCAGAATAGTTTTCTAGTGTCAAAGGGGATTTTGCTTACCTAGTATTCTTGGGTTGGTTAGGAGAATCACCCTTTAAACAGACAGACCTTTCAAAATAAAGGATTTCCAGTTCCATATGAAATACTAGATCACAAGCATAGTAATATTTCTCTAATGTATGTTTCTTAGAAGGAGATCTAGCCAAATTGATGAGAAATCAGAATAAGGATAATTCTAAAGTAGTACATTTAAAAAATTGCAGTTGATTTGTCCACTTACCTCATGGGTTCTCTCTTCCTTTTCACATACACACACAAAACGACTTGAAAGAGTTGTCTGTAATTGTGCACTAGTTCCTTAGTATCCAATCTCTCTTAACCCACATTAATTGGGCTTTTATTCCAACTATTTAACTGAAGTCACTGTTATCAAAATCACCAAAGACCTTCATTTTTCCAAGTCCAGTTTTTAGTTCTTTGTCCTCCACTTACTTGAACTCTTACTTAAGCATTCAACTTAATTGACCCTTCCTTTCTTCCATAAGTCATTTCCCTTTGGCTTCCTAGATGTCCTCCTCACCTTGCTTTCTTCCACCTCACCAGCTCTGCCTTCGGAGTCTCCTCTGCCAGCTCCTTCCCCTCTTACTGATCTCTGACTGTAAAGGTCTGAACTCCGGACTCAGTCTTGGCTTTATTAAATCTGTCTATGCGCTTTCCCAAGGTGAACTCAGATCAGACCTCTTTTCCTGAGCTGCGGACTCGTATTTCCAGTTGTGTAACTGACACATCCACTTGGATGTTTAATAGTCATCCCAAATTTAACATTGCCGGAGGTTGCTCTTTTTTGCCTCATATCTCTCTTGATTTCCTTTCCCCTCAAAATCTCCCTCTCTCCTGTTCTTCCCTAACTCAATTAAATGTAGTTGCTCAAGCCAAAGTCTAGCAGTCATTCTAGATATTTCTTTTTGTCTTACATCACAACCAGTCCATCAGCTCTTTCTCGCCTTAAAACAAAGCCTGAATTTTCACTTCACACCATCTTTCCTGTCACCAACCTAGGTCAAGCCAGCAGTCTTGCCTGGGCTACTTCAGTTGCCTCCTGACTAGCTTTGTTTCTCTTCTTGCCCACCTTCTGCCTGCTCTGTCCATTCACCATGTACAGCCAGAGCGATCTTTTTAAAAGGTAAAATTACATTTATCCAAAGAAGATAAGCAAATGGCAAAGAGGCACATGAAAAAATGCTCAACGTTCTTTGTTATTAGAGAAATACAAATCAAAGCCACATTGAGAAAAAGAATATGAAAATGAATATATGTATATCTGTGCATGACTGGGACACTGTGCTGTACACCAGAAATTGACACATTGTAACTCACTGTACTTCAATTAAAAAAAAAACCACGCTGATCTCAGGTGTACCACTTTACACCTACTAGTATGGCTGTAATAAAAAAGGTGGACAATAAGGAGTGTTTCAAGAGTGTGGAGAAGCTGGAGTCCTCATATATTTCTGCTGGGAATGTGAAACGTGGTGCAGCTACTTTGGAAAACAGTTTGGCAGGTCCAACAAAGAGTTATTACAACAAAGAGCTATAATATGAGTTAGCATATTATAAAAGAGTTACTGTATGACTCAGCAGTACCTCCCAAAATTGAAAACATGTTCCCATCCACACACAGATTTGTACAGATCATAGTGGTGTTGTTTGTAATAGGCAAAAAGTGGAAACAATCCAGCTGTCTCTCAGTTGACCAGCTGATGCATAGCTAAACAAAATGTGATGTATTTTTACAGAGGAATATTATTTGGACATAACAAAGGAACGAAGTGCTGATACCTGCCACAACGTGGATGAACCTTGAAAACGTTATGCTAGGGAAAGGAAACTTAACACAAAAGGCCACATAGTACATGATTCCATTTATGTACAATGCCCTGAATAGGCAAGTCTGTAGAGACAGAAAACAAATTAGTGATTGGGCAATAGACTCGAGGGTGCAGGGTTTATTTTGAGGGTGATGAAACTATTCTGGGATTAAACAGTGATGGTGTTGCCCAATTCGAGAGTATACTAAAAACCACAGAGTTGTTCCCTTTGTGGTATGTGAATTATATCTCAATAAAACTGTTATTTAAAAAAAGCAAAATTAGGTCACTCCTTACTTGGGTCCCTCCCTACTTGAAGCACTTCTGTGGTTTCCCTTATAGTTCAAGTCAAAGTCAAAGTCCTTATCATGACCCTCAAGGCCTATGTGATCTGTCCCTGCCTTTTGCTCTCCCTGCTCTCCAGCCACATAACCTTGTTACTATTGCTCGAAGGGGCCAGGGTTTGGAGGGTTCTTCTCATTCAAGCCATCCTTTCTGAGGCTTCCTGTTCTGTTTCTTCCTAGCACGTGTCTGCTTTTTCTTTCTTCACTAGAATGTGTGTTCTGTAAGCTCAGGAATGCTGTCTAATTTGCTGTACTCCCAACATCTGTAACAGATTATGACACGTGATATCTGCTAAATAAATTCCTTTTTTTTTTGCCTATTTAATTAATTTATTTATTTATTTGAGAACTCCTCTCAGCGGGTTTTTATTTTATTTTTTAACATTTTTTATTGAGTTATAGTCATTTTACAATGCTGTATCAAATTCTAGTGTAGAGCACAATTTTCCCGTTATACATGAACGTACATATATTCATTGTCACATTTATTTTCACAATAAATTCCTTTTGAATTGATGAAAACCTCTGTAGACCATTTGTTTTGGTTTTGTAAAAAAAAAAACCCAAGATTTTCTAAAGAGAGTAGCAGTTCGTTACTGTCTCTGATACAAATGACTTGGAAAATGAAGTCTGAAGAATAGAAGGAAGTCTGTATTTATTATATTATTAGAAAGTGCTTGATTCCTTCATTTTGGTTTATGATTCTTGTTACTAGGAGTTTGGCATTTTGACCGTGACTATTTTCTGCAGTCAAGTTAACCGTATAGCCTTCACTTGCGGTTTTTCATTTGTACCGTGATTTGTTTTGTTCTTCAGGGGCATCGGACAAGTTGTTACCGACTATGTTCGAGGAGACACATTGCAGAAAACCGCCAAGGCAGGCCTCCTGATGCTCTCAGCTCTCACCTTTGCTGGGCTTTGCTATTTCAACTACCATGACGTGGGCATCTGCAGAGCTGTCGCTATGCTGTGGAAGCTGTGACCTTTTAGACTTAACGCTTTGAGAAGTGATTGTATACCTCCTTGCCTCTGCTCTGTCATGCCGTTCAGCTCACAATAAGAAGGAAATTACAGATAAGTCCACTGGGGAGACAGACCTCTTCTCCTAATCACCTGGTTATTTTTAGAATTTGATCTTTGAGGAGAGATTTGAGAGGAATTGCATCCCAGAGATGGGGAGGCTGAGTTCTGTATTCTGGGGAGTTAACAGGGCTGTCTCTCAGCTTCTCTCAAGACTGACTGTATAACTACACATTACATATGAGCTTTTGCCTTTTAATTTTCTCAGACTCTTAAAGGGAATTCGGCTTTATCACTCTCAATATCTGATCAAACGTCTGTTATTTGTCCTAGGATGCTGGAGAGAGGGAAAGACTGTTAATTCATAAGTAAAGACTTTGCAGAAAATTAGACAGTGTTTAATTTTTGAAAACTTCCCCCGACCCTATTCAGTCAATACCAGTTATTGATGGTTACATGTCCTAGGGAAATTTTAAAAGTAGGAAATACTAATATTTCAGTTACTAATTTCTAAATCCTAGGAAGAAAAGCCTGGAGAGTTTCTGAATATAGAGAAGTTCCATGTAAGGAAGAGGTCCCTTTATAGATGTATCAAAATTTTCCGCATTCTAGACTGGGACTTAATCCTCAGATGTGTTTATTTTACTTGTCCTGAAATAATTTGTCCACAAATACAAATTATCAGTAATTGTTGTTTTCTCACAGTGGGAATCTCTAATGTGAAAAGGTATTCTATGAAGATAAAGTTTTTTTAAAAATAAAATGCTGTATAATAAAAATGTATTCTACTCTTTTATGTCTCAATTGTCCTTAGTCTTATTCAGTAGAACTGAGTGTCTGTTGCATCTACAGCACTGAAACAGGAATGAGTGTGTAAATTTTCTTCTGGAGCTTAGCAGTTCGGTAAATCAGACACAAAGTACTGTAATGCAAAAATGACTTACCTGTAACAGGCAGAAATACACTGAGTCTAAGCCATTTGATAAGCATAGAGAAATAAGACTAAATCGTAGGAATTAGAATGAGGTCCAGATTGTGGTGTTCTGTGAATGCCAGCCTTTGGAATTCCAATTATATTCTGTATGCAGTTAGTCTGATCTAAGGGATGAGTGTGAGGCATGCTGGTTTGTTTCTCCTGGCATCACAGAGAAGCTGGAACTTGGCGCATGTCACTCACTGAGGACCTCGCTGGACAGCTGAGGCAGAGTTGAAGGGGAGCTGGCTAGAAGGGTGTGTTCAGGAATGTCTATGCTAGTGGTTAAAGATAAGATATCCCTAACGTGTTTATGGCCTTGTAGGATATTCAGTTGTGTATTAAGTGTTTAGGAAGAGGTGATTAATTCTGTTTTGGGGCCGGTTAAAGGTCTCAAAAGGGAATGATGCCTGAATAGCAGTGGTTGACCAAGGAGTGGTGGTGGTGGGAGCCAGGAGGAGTATCTTATTATGAACATTGTTTAGAATTGGTGATTCATGATGATGATAAAAAGTGGACCGACCTTTAATCAATTTTATTATTGTTTTAAAATTCTCCCCTTTAGTGTCATTCCACCCCCAACCCCCAGTACACCACTGCGGTAAAGGGGAGTGGTGAAATGGGAGGGCAGTAACTGGGTGAAGGGGAGAGGTGAAATGGGAGGGCAGTAACTGGGTGACGTGGGCCTCCTGTATCACTAATACCATCAGATCCTAGCCTGGATTTGGAAGGGTTTCTAATGCTAATTAACTTCCTTAGATGGTGATTGAGATGTTGGAGTGGAGGCTGGCTGGGTACTGCCTGCCCCAGGTCCCTGTTAGTTCTGTAATTAGGTTTCAGCTGAGCTGTCACTTTGAAAGATCATTGTTTGCTCTGAGCCGCTGTGACAGCAGGGAAAAATGAGGCAGGGGCTAACGGCAATAGGACATTTCTGAGGTTAAGCAGGACATGATCACAATTGTGCTTCAGGAAGAATTTAAGCGACATTAAGAAGGTTGGTAAGCTTCAGGCAGAAGGCTGTGTAAAAAGAAACATGGAAGAAGGAAACATGAACTTTGACGGTGGCAGTGGAAAGTAGGAGTCAATTTCACAAGGTTGTCAAAGAAGTCAGAAACATTCACTCCTTTGATAGGTACTAAGTACCTTACGTGATTGGCATTCTGCCAGTACTGTGGATAAAGTGATAAGAATTTCTCTCCCCTTAAAAGGAATTCATAGTCTAGTTGGGACAACAGATAAATGATTGCAGTGCAGCTTAGTAAGTGCAATAATAGTTAAGCACATCAAGCAGTGTTACAACAAAGGGTACCGTAAGAATTTGCTTGCAAATTTCCTGGGCGATGAGTTTTGACCTAGATTCTGAAAGACGAGCTGACATGTGGCCAAGGAAGCTGGGGTGAAGTGTGAGGACTACAAACAGCTCTGTAGAAAAGTGAGCAAAGCTAGAGACAGACAAATGACTTTTAAATATATGAAAATAACAACATCTTTAGCTTAATAATAATTAAAACCGTAATTAGATACCATAGCACTTGTGTGATTACCAAAGATGAGAAAGCTTAATAACACAACTGGTGAAGTTATGTTGTAGCAGGCAGAAAAGCAGAAAAGATGGAGAAAACAAATCAGCTTGACCAGGGTCCTGTGAGAAAGAGGGGTTAGACTCATTCGATGCCCTGTTGGGTTCCTTTCAACATAAATGTTAATATTCACAGAAAAAAAAAAAGAGTTCATCTACCCCATGAGCACATGATCTGGTGGGGGACACAGATAGGTAAGTGGAAGTTTATGATATAGACAGTAAAGGGCTGTAATATAAATAAGTTTGCAAGGTAAGTCCGGGGAGAAAAAAAATGGGGAATGGGGTTCCCATAGCATTTAATTTTCCTGCACAACGTTTTAAAGTTATAATGGGGGAGAGGATTTGATTAAAAGCAAAGCTCCCAGGCCAGCCTATTGAAAGATGCCCCAAAGGTTGTAGTGAAAGTGGAAAGAAAAAATTGCTATAATGAACCAAAGTTATAGAGAAGCATAAGAGGAAAACTGAGCAAGGGTGCCTGGTCACAGGTGTGTAAGCAATTAGATGCTGAAGTCAAAACATTATCAAAACATGTTTTGCATCTCTTCCCTCTTCCCGGAATGACTTTCCTCGCCTTCTCTGCCAACTCTTCCCCATCTTTTTATTCATTGTCATCCAGGATTGTGTGTGTGTACATGGGTGCCATCAGTGTCTTTTCATCTTTTTTTTTTTTGCCTTTTCCCAACTTATTTATTTAATTAGCTAGAGAGTTGCATATTCCATTTTGAATTAACCTGGTTACATATTATTCTCAGGAAGTTAACCCAGCTTTAAAATGATGATTGCTGCTATATGAATTTAATTGTATTTATGTATTTTTTAATTGGTAAAAGTTTTGTTATTGCCATATAACCTTTTTCCTGACAAAAAATGTGTGTGTTTTGTATTTTTCCTCTGGTTTTTCAGCCATGTTTCTCAGTTTAAAAAGAAAAAAATGCAACTATTCTTAGAAGCCAAGTGAAATGCAGTGGAATCATATTTCTCCTTCAGCAGTGACAAAATAATATGAAAATATATGTATGTATATGCAAGACTGGGACATTGTGCTGTACACCAGAAACTGACACATCATAACTGACTGTAGTTCAATTAAAAAGAAACAAACAGTAACAAAACAGAATAATCTGCAGAAGTCTTCAGATTTGACTCTGAATCTTGTATAGTTTTCTTTCGTTCACTCTCAGAAAATACCTACTAATCATTTTCCTTCTTCTGGCAAAATTAGTAAACACTTATAGAAATGGGACTTTAGTATCAGCATTATGGCTGTGAAACAACTCTGGGAGAACTTTAAAAAGGATGTGAAAGCAAAAGAGTGGTCTCTAAGTTAAATTTTCACTTAACTTCCAATCACAATGGAAATTTTCTGTTCATGTTTTACTTACCCAGCTGGATTGTGACACTTTTAAGGGCTAGGATCATGTCTCAGATGACTTTGGAGCCGCACTCCTGCACTCAGCACACTGTCCAGCACATGCTAAATAGTCAGGGAAAAGCCATAGAATGAATGAACAAATTGTGACTTCTGTAGCCTCTGTCTTTTTTATCAGCAAACGAGCAGTGCTCACCCGATGAATGTGTGGCTAGTGAATGATCAATAGATGCTCAACATTGTAAATAAAATATATATATTTTTTGCAGCAGCTGCTTCTGACAACAAAAACTAGACATTAAAAAAAAGGAAGCTGGGATAGGGAGGGTATAGCTCAGCGGTAGAGTGCGTGGTTAGCATGCATAAGGTCTTGGGTTCAATCCCCAGTAGCTCCATCAAAAATAAATAAACCTAATTATCCACCCCCACCCATCAAAAAAAAACTATGTATCATGGCCAAAGAATGCAGAAAAGTAACACGAGTTGTGCCCAGCTCTTACTTTATAAAAATGACTGAGTGAAAACACAGAGTTCAATGTTACTGTAAGAAAAAGTTGCCCTAAAAATGAAAAGCCTGTCATGCCACACAGGGCCACAGGGGGCGCACCAGAGGCTCCTCTGGAGGCAGAGAGGAGGGAGGGAAAAGCACAGGCCGCAGCCTTTGCTATGTTTCCTTTGTTGTGTATTCTGTAGGAAAGGCAAAGCAGGGAAAAGCAAACAGTTTAGGATTGTTTGAGGAATTCCAGTGGGCTCTGGGACACAGGGCTGTGGCTAGTCATCTGGTGTCTAGCTCTGAGTTGATTTAGGACAGGCAAAATGTGGGCTGTGGGTGTGAGCGCTAGATAAAGGCTGTCTGGACTTGGAATTGGTTGGTTTGTATAGGAAACGTGGGCTCACCGACCAACAGGTTGTTTACTGTCTCGGGAATTCACTAGCCCTGAAGGGCAGTCTCTCCCCAGCCAGCCAGGACCCTAAAGATGTCAAAACATCATAAAGCATAAAAAATATAATTAATGCATAAGACCCTAGAGCTTACAAGAAATGTTATGACAAAGAAGTATATGAATAAGAAATTTTAACCCATACCTATTAATGTGATCTGCTTTAGGTATTTGCGTTAAATCTGCATATTAACTTGAAAAGAACTGCCATCTTCACAACAGTTTTCTTGTTACGAGCATTTATCTGTTTTCGGGTTCCTTTATTTCTCTTAATAAGTTTCATCATTTTTCCCCAAATAGCTTTTATTATCTAAATTAGATTATTCCCACGATGATCATTCTTACCATTTTAAGTGAGATTTTACAAATTGTTTTCTTACTCATATCACTCATACATTGAAGTGAGGTTATTTCTTTGTGGCTGAACAGATTGCAATGTTTTGCAATTTTGCAGATTTATTATCTCTAATAGATCTTTAGTTTTTAAAAACTGGTTCTATAAAAAAATTTTAAACTTACTTAAAAGTACCAATCACCATAATAGCTTCAAATTATTTTGCTTATCTTATATCTTCTATTTCCCCACTCTCATACATTCATGTCTTCTTCAGTTCTACTTAAGGTGCCCAATAATTTCCTATAACTTTTTTCTGGCCCCAGCCAAAAATCATTAAGGTATATATAAAGCCTGTGAATCTCTGGAATACTTTTTCTTTCTCTTGTTTTGTTTTAAATAGTTTCCATGCTGATTTTTTTCCCCCTCTGTTCTCAACTTTGAATGTGGTGGTATCTGTTTAGAGTCAGTGTTACCAGGCAGTGTGAGTAGGAATTTCCTTTTGTCCTGATTCCTGTCCAATGGCGTGGTAGTTCAATCTTCCTTTAAAATCTGTATCTGGGAGGCACATTGGGATGCGTGTGTCCCAGCCTCGTT